AATTCTCCTTGTATGTCAAGGCTGGTTCTTTTAGTAAATAATGATTTGTTGTCTTATATTTTTAATAAGTGTTTTGCACACTTTTATTAGACTGAGCAAGCAGTTGCTTCGTGGAAATGCTTATCTTCGGACAAAGATTACTGTTTGAGTTGAAAAAAGAAAAATAACAGAGAAAAGATTTATTCAAACGGTGTATTCCAAAATTTTATGAGAGGACTTTACTTTAAAAAAATGAGAAGGAACAGCTGATAGGATAAGACGATTTTGTTGTGCCTTTTAGTTCTTATTTTCTTATGAACCATATTTACAAGTGAATGCACGCTTGTGCTTATGCTCAGTAAACGACCGGTCGGCAGTTGATTTCAATTGTTTAATCATTTCAATCATGGCTGGTGATTAGAAATTGACTAGTTTTAAATTATGTTGAATTCGTTCTTGGGAAATATTCTAGTGTGTTTTTAGTTTTGATTTAATGCATAAACTTAAGGGCAGTTGCCATTTCAACACATCAGAAAATGTACTTGAAATTGCTGAGATGATCTGCTTTGTATTTGCGAAGCTTGGTGCATATTGCGAAAGGGTTTGCATGATTGTGCCAATCTGGAGATTATTTTTTGCTGTCAAAAAAACCAGGGAATTATAATTGGTGAACCGAAGCTGGTGGAATATCTACGTAGCAGTGTGAAACATTTGAACTCAGACAGTCCTGTTTTAGGAATCCGTTGACGATTCCTATTCCAATATTTCTGTTTCATTTTGTGGTTGTTCATATCCAAAAATCGTTACTTTTAAGTAAATTGCAGAAATGATTTGTTAAATCTGTCTTACCGTGAAGACATATAAATCATTTTTTCTGACAAACAAAAATATTTCATACATTTATCTAATTGAACTCTCGCATTTCCTTCTCATGTTAATTGCAAAGGTGCTAAAAGAAACCGTCACGTATGATCCAATTCATCCGTTGTCCATGATGCTGTCTCTGCCTGGATGTATGTGGAAGTTAGCCGAAAAGATCATGGCCTAACGTACTCCGAACATTACCTGATTTGTATGCTTATTTCATCTTTCATGACAACAGATTTTCGAAAACTCGAGTCAAGTTGTTACGAGGAAATACCCTTCCTAATAATCTTATAGAAATATAAGTAACGACAACTTACAAAACAGCGTTTGTTAAGAATAGCACATTTACCGTTGCCAGGAATATTTTCTGCCATCCAACAATATCGTTAGCTGGCGCTAGTCTCCAAACCATTACCGGTACCACTAACATTATTATTGTTATTCCTGCAATTCAGTAAAGTTATGAAAAATCTCCTAAAAATCACTGCAATCAGTACTGCAAACTTGTGAACCATCGTTTAACTGCACCAAAAAATCTGATGACTTGTAATATCTTGAAATTCTGCCATAAAAATCGGGAGATTCGGCATAAATGCCTCAATTTCGTCTATCCCAATCTGTGAAATTTATTGATCAAAATAAATTATGTCATGCTAACGCAAGTTCAGATCATATGCATATTTTTTAATCATTGTTTTACTAACACATGTCTATTTTATTCTAGGTATCTGCTCGGAATTCCACCAACGTAACCAAAATGTTCAGTGTTATAAATATTTATATCATGTAAGTGTGCAAGGATTAGATCTGATTGAAAATTGAACTTAAGCAAACCTAATGAAACATTTCCCGTAACCAAAGGACTGAAATGTTTGGATACAAGTGGTGTAGCTTTGAAGAAACCACCGGTTTTGAAGCCAAGACAGCGGGCTGCAATTTTACGGCAAACGGTTGCAGTAGAGCCCCAAGATATCGGCATGAACGATAAAATAATTTAAATAATAATAATAATAATAATAATGATTGTCGTGAAAACGAAACC